TCCTCCTCTTCTTCCTTTGCTTCCTTCAAGCATTAGCGTTCTGCGGCTAATCAATGCCACCAGCCAGAATCCCTTTTCGTTTGCTCACCTAATATGTGTGGTCCCATTCATTCATAGCAATAAGATTCCGATTCCTTCGTACCCTCCAATTCCAAATGACATGGAGATACCCTCTGGTAAACTAACATCATAACTATGGAAAATCACCATTTTTAATGGGAAAATCCACTATAAATGGTCATTTTCAATAGCTATGTTAAATTACCAGAGGGTAGAACCCCAAACACTGGTTTAATCTACCCACAAAATAAGCCTCCCGGTGTCATCAAACATGGCTGGAAAATCCTCCGTTTTCTTCGATGATTTTCCCAACTATCACACGAAAAATGACGGGGATCTCCATGACGGGGCCTATATCATGTGGGGGAGACCTAAGGGGATGTATTATATCGGGTTGGTATTCCATCCCCACCTTTTCTATGTTCATTGGTTACATTGACACACAAAAATGGTTGGCGAAAAAATCAATGAATCATGTTCAATCATGTTCAATTCCCATGACACATTTCGTCCATGGTTTGGTGGTTAAACCAAAATGACAATATAACTATAAAATCATCGTGTTCCCTACAAATGGCCCTACAATTGGATGGTGTCAGGTTCTCAAAATGACCTGCTCTTTGCGGATCCATGGGCTTTTCCGCCGCCTCTGCTTGCTTCTCCTCTGGATCTCGCATATCTTTCCTCGGCGATGGAGTTGGCCCCCTTCAAGTATATAGACATATATCTATCTTAAAAGAATTATAGATAGGTATAGGTAGGTAGATAGGTGGATAGGTATACAAGTACAGTTCTAGTGTATATAGGTAGATATGTAGATAGGCAGATGGGTAGATAAGTAGATAAGTAGATACATAAACAGGTAGATGGTAGCAAGATGCTAGTAGATAGATTAATATACATACGTCGTTTTGAATGAACAACGGTGAGTATTTGACCTGGGAAATGCGTGGCCGGCCAGTGCGTGCTGTGTGTCCGCCCACAGGAGATGGGTCCCCCTTGTTGGCATCGGTCGCCATGGGCCGCAAGTGGGCAACATATCCGCGGGCTGATGTATTAGGTCAACAGCACCCACACATGATATCCCACAATTAAACCAACAATAGTTAATGGTGATATGCCATGGTTAATACTTAATAGTTATAGTTATTCCCGCTATTTACCATGCTTATCCATTTTTATCAAAGTGATATCCCACAAAAAACAACAACGAGGGATTTGTGAAAAACCTGGATCAACACTGGAGTCTCCTTATTTTGGGGCTATCCCGCGAAAAATCCCAATGTTCCCATGTCCCACGATTCTTGATGTGATACCTCTGCTTTAGATACGAAAATCACCATTTTTCATAGGTAAATCATGGTAAATCATCATAGATCATCAATTTCTATGGGTGCGAAACCATGGCAAACTCAGAAAAATTACCGGAGGGGCACGACACATTTTGATGGACTGGTATACCCGATTGTATCCCATTATATTCCACCCATATGGTTGATTTATGGTTATTATTTACCTAAGATTTAAAAGGTATGCTTTCATATGGTTCTATCATATGGTTCTTGATTTTTAGATAAGCTATTATATTGTATATCTTTAGCTTTGTTGATTCATTTGGTGAACCCTTCTGAGAAAACCATCCCGAAAAAAATCACCACTATGAATGGGTCGGTTTATGGCATTGGGTTGCTGAACTATCAGTTTAGCCACCCCCATGGGGTCATTCTTCCAGGACTTTAATGCCTGGATGTGCATCCAGGTTCTGAACCGCATAAGCCTGGTGACCATAATCCAAAAGTTAACCCCAAAAAAATCCATGAGAATCCCCATATAGATGACGACCTTCCATATATATATATATATATAACACCATTTTATTACATATAATATATATATATATGTATACTGGTTGGTGGTTGACCTACCACGCTTGGAGGATCATCCCACTTGCTAGGTGGTAGAAATGACCCATAAATGCCATCATAGAGGGGAACTATATAATATGTATGTTATGTGTATATAAACTATTATATATACTGGTTGGTGGTTGACCTACCCCTCTGAAAAATATGAGTGAACGTCGGTTAGGATGATGAAATTCCCAAGATATGGAAATATAATCCAAATGTTCCAAACCACCAATCAGTATTTATATATATATATATATAATCCAATGGGGATATACCCGTAAATCTAATTGAGGATAGCCATGTACGATGCGTGGGATGACCATGCAGTTATTGGAGCGATTTCGTTTACGGGGGCCTCACTTTGCATGAATTCAGAAAGTCCCACATATTAAATATCTATATACACTATATATATATAATGTATATAATATATATAGTGTATATATATATAGTACATATATATATATATAGCGTGTATATATATATATATAGTGATTCTATATATAGTGACTAATGTAGTGTATATAAAATACATATATAGTATATATATATATATATTATATTGCATATATATATATTGTATATATATATATTGCATATATATATATACAGTGTTTCTATATATAGTGTGTATATATATATATATACAATTCATATATCCCATATATAAATGGGTTATAACCGTTTTAACTATGGCCACTAACTAACCAGTTACATCAGTAGGATCACCCTCCCCAAAAAAACACGCCCAGGCGAGCTGCAAATGTAGGGCGTCCACAGCAGCTTTGGCGGAATCCGGGTCTTTCAAGTTCACCAGGGCAAACCTAATGGTGACCAGAAGAGTTACCCTCCAACGAACATGGCTTGCTGACGGGGAAACAGAAAGATGAGGGAATTACTCAAAAACAATACCCTGGTTGGTGGTTTTAACCATCTTGAAAAATATGAAAGTCAATGGGAAGGATGACATCCCATATATGAAATGGAAAATATAAAATGTTCCGAACCACTAACCAGTGGTGGCTTTTGACCGGAAGAGTTACTAAAAAGTAGTTCATAACCATAGTTACTACAGTTATAACTGGGAATAATTCACTGATAGCCATTTATAAATGGGAGAATCCCCAATTATTGACCTTTAAGGGCGAAAGCTCGAAAAGTGCCAAAAAAGAGTGGCAGCGGGCTGGCTTGATAACCCATTAATAACTCAGTGGTGGCCTTTGACTTCGAACAAAGACACAAAAAGAAAAAAACAAAGATACCCTCCGATAAATGAACATGGCTTGCTGGAACATTGGCCACCTAGATGATTTTTCCATTGAATCAAAAGATACTATGACCAAATAATGACTGACTATGTCATACTATGTCCATATAATTTGGTGTATATTATATATATCTATTAGATACCCTCCAACGAACATGGCTTGCTGGAAAAAACTTACCACTTAGATAATTTGTCGCATTAAAACCATTAAAAAAACTGCATTTATAGGGGATTTGCCATTGTCATGTCTGATTTCTCGAAGGGTATTTATCATCAAAGCTTCGCAAACCATTCACCAACATGTTCAGGTGTGGACCTCCATTCCTGCATGATAAGCTGGCTGTTTCGTATTCATCAATTACCAATCGGCACCAAGCTGGGACCCACCCCCTGGGACCATCTGAGGCGCCTTTTTCCATCCTCCGTTTTCAATAAGACGGAGGAGACAACCTGTGCCGGAGGCAGTCAGGACACCCATCTGGATCGCATGGGCCTGCTGGATTTAGAGGATTCCAGGTTGATAGGACTATCATTCCAAAAACTTTGCAGTAAATCAATGGATATCAACGGTTATTAAATGATATTAAATGATATTAAATGAATATAAATGGATATCAAAAATATATTAAATGGATTTTGAAGTGATTGATATCCCTATGTTCAATGTCGTTTGGGGGATAACCATGGATATGAATAGGAGACTGCATAGCCAGCCAGATTTACCAGAGGGTAGGGGCATCATGTTGTTGCTGTCGCTGTGATGGGTGGTGGTCCCTTACCCCCAAAGTAATATTAAATACCCACCAAGAAAACTTGGTTAAGTATCGGATCCCCAACTCGTAAAAACAATGGGCTGATCATGTGTGAGTGTCATATCAACATGTCAGATCTTCTATGAATGGTTGATAGCATCAATAAAAACAATGCGCGTTCTTGTTTTTATTTGTTTAACATGTTTACAATTGATGTTCCCTTATAATCCTTAAGTAATCCTTAAGATACTGATTTCATATGCGTCTTTCCATCTATTTCATATGTTCCATGATGTTTGGCGCTGCCGCCAAGCCCATGGCGCCCCCATTGGGCCTCGCCAAATTCGCTGAAGACTGAGGTGATCTTCTGATCGTCCCAGTTGCTGGGCATATTCCTGCAAGTTGTTGGGAGTACCATGGGGATAGCCCAGGTTTTTCATACTTTGCTATGGGAAATATGGGGACAATATGAGGAACATATGGAAAATAGCCCATATTAATAAACATTATGATTTAGCAAACTTAAACAGTGTGATTTTCCAGTTTGCTATGTTAAACAACCAGAGACTCAACAGGTTGGTTTTGCCACGGGAACATGAGGAATTTTCAGGCAAACGATGGTTTGGAAAATCTGACCTGAAAACCGTTGGCGTTTACAGCCAAAGCGGGGTGGGTTTTCCCTGCAGATGTTCCCAGCAAAAAAAAATAGTCTTGCCCGCCAAAAAAAATGCCTGTGTTTGTTGCCACCAAACAAAGCTTACTTTAAGGATTTAAGGAGAAATTGCCACAAACACACATACACACGCCACTAAAAATATAGAGTTTTTTGTCTTGCCACCAGAAATTCGAGAAGTTTGCCAACAAAGAATTGATTTCATCTTGGGAGCAACGAATCAGGGGTTCAACCCTCAAGACTTGACACGAATTAACCCCAAAACATTGGGATATAAGCAGCAACAATGGGAGTATGGGTCAAACCATTGGCTACATGGAGTGGTCACGTTCATTCATGCTTGGTGCATGTGGTAAACCCTGCCATTTTTGGGATGGGTATACCCACTTTCCACTTTCTTCCAATTCCAATGTTGTGGTTGTGAAATGCTGATTCGTGTAGCTTAAAGTCCCCGTTTTGTAGGTGATGTGTTCAATCCTCATTGTCAACAACCCTGCTTTTCTTAGTGAAATTCCTATCACAAGATTCTTAGTGAAATTCCCATCCATTTCTGTTTCTGTTTGCTTTGTAGATGATCTATTGAATCTATAGATTGATCTAAATGTCCATTCGCGGTCATGTTGGTTGTTTCTCAACTTTGGGATACCCCAAAACCATTGAAATCATTGGCTTCCCCAATCGAAAACGACCAATTTTGAGTGATGGAAATAGCTGATCAGGAACCCCCGAAAAATAAAGCACATGTCGACTCAACAAATCCAGGCATCTGTTATAATAATTGAATAATTGACATTCCCATACATTTCATACATATATATATTATACATATATATGGAGCCATATATATATATGTGTATACATATATATATAGGTACAATAAAGGTACAAAATTATACAAATAATATCAAATAACTATCTCAGTGATTTTCATGAATCATGAACTGTTGGTTTTTCACATGTTCAGAACCAATGCCCCACCAAGTGCGCAGAAAACCGATGTCAGATCCGTTGCAGCTGAGCATCTTCACATAGAGATTGGTGAAGCTTTCAGCTTCGTCGCGCTCTTCACCTTGGGATTGGTGGAGATGTGTTGCAGATATGCAGTCCGAATGTGGGGACTCATGTTTCACTGGATTGGTTTGAGGGAAAATCTACAGGAAACCATGGTTTTTACCATCAAATATAGGGGTTTCCTGTAAATTTTCCCATCATCCAATTCTATGAATGTTACACAATTCACTGGGGATTATGATAACATATGATAACTATGGACTGACTGTAGTCTACCAAAAACCAGTTTTTTTGGGGGTTTCCATAGTCATGGGGGTACCACAATAGCTGGGTGAGTCCAAAGATATGGAGGATCAACAAACTAAGCTATGGATCCAAACGCTGCCCGACAAGCCCTAAATCATAATCCAAACAAACTTTCTAAGAAGGCAATTTTATCCACAAGGTAATCAAATGTTTGGTCATTAGTGGGGAAACCAATGGTTTGGGGTACCTCAAGTTTGAAGAACAGTAGCCGTGTCAATCCAGGTGGAACCCATGAATTCGTCATGTTTCACCGCAGTTCAATGGCTGAACGGGCACTAATGGACTTCAATGGACCCACAGGAATCCACAACATACCCACTGTTTCAGTGCAAAACCATCCATTTTTCAGTCAAAGATGACCTGAACCCGGCAATGATTTATGGCTTAGGCTTTGGCCAAATATGTTGAGCCATCTATTTTTAGGTCAACTAAATTATTCAACAAGTGGTGACCCTCTACGCCCAGCAGTTAAAATGGTGAACCTGAAAGAGTCTGGTCTTGCCAAGTCACGCTTGATGAAGGGCCCGACATAGACGGTGCTACCTGCGAAAACTTTTCGGACACAAATCTGCTTGGTTTCACCCTTGGTATCAAATGGTATCAAGGGGAATACATATTTAAGTGACTACCAGCAAGTCTGAATGGGCGAGAGGAGAAGGCAGGAACAAATCAAGTTCGTCGTTTTCAAGCTTTGTTACTTAGTCTTCGTTTCGAAGCCAAAACATGGGAATTTCACTGCTGTTCTCAAAGGTACCTCTCTCAACTATCGCTTTTTCCTATTCAAAATAACCATCAATTGGATGATGACTCCCAAGGCTCAAGAAAGACCATTTGGAACTGGTACCTGCTTATGCATCCCCAATTCTACTAGAAATGGATGGACATGTCAAACGGTCATTTGGAAGTTGTTGATGGGTTTGCCACATTATCCCATACACTTTTGGGATACAGTATCACCCCTTAGTTAGTACAAATATATGACAGTATAATAGATGTATATAATATATGTGTATATATATATATATATACATAATTATATAAATATATGTATAACATAATGTCTGTATATCTATACGTATACATATATATATATGTGTGTGTGTGTGCTCATCCCCCCAGAACCCCCCCGCATGTTGAGCAAACAATTGTTTTACCAGCTCTTGGTCTCTGCATAGCACAACTGATGTGTTTGCAGAAAGCAATGCTAGTGACCCTCAAATAAGAAACACTATTCTTGCAAGAAAACTATGTGTGGAAGGATGCAATACATGCTTTAATGAAGCTCAGCCTTCCTCTCACTTCTCTCATATGACCATGGCTTTCTATGAAGTAGAGCTAAGTAGAGGTAACAAAGTAAGACTAATGTGTTGATCAAACATATTTGAAATACAATGACTATACCTTTACTATAGCTTCAATATATCTTTAATATACAATTCTATTGACTCAGCACAATATCTTCAAGAAAACTTCAATATGCCTTTTAAATACAATGTAATACATCTTCATTGCTTTCTATGCAATCTAATATACCTTTAGTATACCTTTATATAAATACAATTTTATTGGCCATGTTCTTGCCTTTAATATACCTTTAGGATACCTTTAATATACCGTTGATGTAACTCTTAAATGCAATCTAATACATCTATACTATACCGGTAACATGCAATTTAATATACCTTTAGAATATCATTTGATATACATAGAATCTACCTTTGATATACCTTTTACTTGACCTTGAAAATAACTTTAGTATGCCTTGACGATACCTTCAATGCATATATATTTAATATACCAGTTAATTTACCAGTTCACATACCTTTAGTGTACCATTTAACAAAACATGAGAATACCATGAATATATTTTCAATACACCTATAACATACCTTTAATACATTTTTAATTTTAAGATCTTTGGATATTCCTTTTGAAATACTGTTGATATACCATGTCACATGAGTCACATACCTTGAGTGTATCATTTAATATACCATGAATATACCGATACCTTTGTTTCTTTTTCAATATCCCTTCAATATACCATTTTATTGACCATGAAAACATGTTTTTATTTTTAATATACTTTCCATATACCTTTGCACTACATTTTCTAAATATATAATATATTGTATACTGGTTTCAATGAATACTGCATAGACTAAGAGAGCTTTCTTTCTTATTGAAGTAATTCTGTGCTCTTTCAAAGGGACCTCACACGTTTGTTGGCATTTTCTAAGGAAAACTGCGCCCATGAAAGAGTCTTGCAAAGTATACTAGTTTAAAGCAATGTTCCATTTTATCATACAGGTCGTAATCGAATAATGCAAAGAGTGATGCTGCGCTACTATATGTGCTTAAGAATACAACACACATCAAAGGAGTGCTGCGGGAAAAAAAATACTTTCTTTCAAGGCAAAACTGCTTCAAAGTACTACTGCATCCATCCCTTTGAAAGAAATAGTACAATCTTTTAAAAATGCTCCACCATTTTTTGCAATATGTCCGATACTCTTTCAAAAGAGTACTGCAACCATTTAAGGACTTTCTTTACAGGTAAGACTCTTTCAAAGTACTACTACTGTATCTATTGATGCATTCTACGACACAGAAACAGTACATTCTTGTACAACATGCCCCACTGGCCTCAACTATTTTACGCAATGTGTCTGGTACTCTTTGAATCAAATACTGCATCCAATTAAGGACTTCCTTTACAGGTAAGATTCGTTCAAAGTCCTGCAGCATCTATTAAAGCATTCTGTTGCAAAGCAACGTTACATGTTCTCAAAGAAATACCTCACCATTCCCCCCAAAGTATCCAAAAGTGTCAGTTTCCGGGTACTTATATGCGTTGTTTGAATATGTCAAACCTAGACAGGAATGCGTATGTACGAATCCAAGGTTCCAAGAGTTGCTAGAGATAGAGCAGAAAGCGCTGCAACAGCTAATTTTCAAGTGCATAGACAAGACATCACAGCACATCCTATGCCAGGCTTAGTCTCACATAGTGCGCAAGCGCTTGAGTGACAAAGTTTGATCAAAATTTGACTTCCCAGGACCGATAAGGTAAGCAAGCATAAGGACACAGATGGCAATCATGTGAATCAATAGAAAAACCAAAAGAAACAAAAAAATCGAGCAAAACGAAAAAAAATAAGAGAATGTTTGGTTTTGACTTAAAAGATGTGTTTTGTTTGTTTTCCCTAGGTTTCTTCGTTTTTTTTGGTTCTGAAATGGAAACACCAAAACACACGTTGTTCTTTTTTTGAATAGATATGATCCATCAAGATCTCACAAAAAAAACAAGTGTTTTTTTGGTGTTTGGCTTTTGAAACCATATCAAACCATAACAGCAAAAGCAAAAACAAAAAAAAAACATTGAGTTTTTTGTTTTTTTGAGATATTGGTTGAAAGTATGTATGCAAAAAAAACAAAAAAATGTTTGTTTTGTGTTTGGCTTTTGAAACCAAAACAAAAAAACTAGGGAAAAGCAAAATATATTTTGAGTCCAAACCAAACATTATCCTCAAAGTTTTTTTTTGTTGTTTTTTTTGGTTTCCCAGGCATCCCCAAGACCTATGGCTTTGTTTTATTTGTTTTCCCAACTTTTTGCGGTTTTGGTGATTCTAGATATCTATATATTATATAAGATTTCAGAAGCATCAATGTTTACTTAAGTAAATGCATGTAAGTAACCCTAAAAAACTGAACATAAAAAAACACGTCCGTTTTATACTGTAAATACCAGTACAAACAGCTTCTGCATGTTCTGCGGGGGGGTGACCGTATATGACACACCTGGATCTTCCAGGTATATAAATATACAATATCACATGGTATCACATGTGTGAAACCTGCATGATATTTTCTATTCAATATGTTAATATATCTTCGCATATTGCGTGCAATGTTACATGTGTACATCGCGCAATCTCGCACCAACGAACAGTGCTTTGTCATACGGCGAATCTTAGATACCCGGCGAATGTTTCTGAGCGCTGCTCCAGGCAATAAACGCATAATATATACATGCATATATATATACATATATATATACATATGCCCTTCAAAAAACAGCCCTAAACAGTGATTATAAGTACTCTAAACACAGAATTTGAACAACCACCCTTAAGCAGATTTCTCTGTTTAAAAGAATATATCTTGCCAACCATCGAACAATTACATATTTAGCAGCTACCAAAAACAACTTTTTTTCACCGAAAAAACCGGCCGCCTGCAATCTGCATGCCATTGACTTTCTCCATGGCGTCCTTTGCCGCTTCCTCCGTCTCGTAGTGAACGAAACCAAAGCCTGGCCATCGTAGCCGTCGTAGGATGCAGGCGACACGGGGTTCAACATGGCCAGCAACATGGTCCATGTTGAAGTGCATTAACATAGATGTATATATATATATGTTATATATCATAATATATAACATATATATATGTATTATAACATATATATATAACATGAATATATAACATATGTATGTATATATATATAGTCAACCTATATATATATATACATGTACCAAAAAAAACATATATGAGAATATGTCATATATGCAATAATATATATCTATATACATATGTGTGAGTATCATATATAATCGTATATAATTAAATAATATATGTATATATAATTATATATATATATTTAATGTAAAAATATATATAATATACACAATCTTTGCTTTGAAACGAAACGCAGTGGACACTTTGCGGTGATCCCGGGAGCGGTGGGCTCTCGCGATCTCTCGCGCCTCTGGACTTGCCACTGTTGTTGGTGGACACTTTGCAGCTGAGGATGTTCCCGAACTGGCCTGCCATGGAAGTTTCATCCCGAACCATCCCATCCCCCCCAAAAAAAACCCAAAAAAAAGGACGGCCTAAATGGGATGGTCCCAATGTGGGAAATTCCCGACTAAACCAGAGTTTCATTTTTTGGGGTGTTAAGAAAAATGGAGAGGATTATGAATATCATTCGAATCCTTGGAGATCATCTTCCCATGTCGCCGATCCATTCACCGCAATGGCAATGAAAACTGGCCCCCCAAACGACTGATATTCACCGAGCCGCTAAAGGTGTCGTGCAAAGCTTTGTTGTCAATGCTGGGATCAAGACCTTTGACGAAGAGGTTACTGTTGCTATTCCTTGGCACAGCTTGGACAGTCGGTTTCAATTCTCGGCACCCTGTCTGATACTACGTACTCATGCATATATAATTAGTTATATATATATATATGTATATATAGGCTCGTCCCCGCTTCTGGAACCACATGGGGTGGAGGGGGTGGGGTGGGGTGGGATGTTAACGTTCATGTGACCTTGCGGCAGGATGTTAACGTTCATGTGAACTTGCGGCAGCAGTGGATGCTACGCACATGCGGGGTGGGGGGGGTGGGGTGGGATGTTAACGTTCATGTGACCTTGCGGCAGGATGTTAACGTTCATGAACCGCGCAAACCTGAATTAGGTTGGTAAAACTTGTCCATTCCGTGACGAAATTTCGTCGCGGAATTAACAAGTTTCATTAGGGTCATTATCATCATCATCATCATCATCATGATGATGATGATGAAGATGATGATGATGATAATGATGATGATGATGATGATAATGACCCTAATGAAACTTGTTAATTCCGCGACAAAATTTCGTCACGGAATGGACAAGTTTTACCAACCTAATTCAGGTTTGCGCGGTTCCAGAAGCGGGGACGAGGCTATATATATATACACATATATATCTATATGATATAAATAATCATGAACGTTGGTACAAGTAGCTTCTATTCTATCCCACATCCCAACGCATTCCCGGTTTCTGCTTGAGCGATGTGAATCATGACGGATCATCCTCCCTGATTGAACCATTGTTGGATGGAAAATGACAGCACGATTGAAATCACCCACATCATCCAGTTATTGGTTGGTTACCCTCCAAACATTGCAATGGAAAATCCAAGCTATAAACCTCCATTCATTTATCCATGTCTGGTTGGTGGTTTCAACCCATCTGAAAAATATGAGTCAATGGGAAGGATTATCCCATATATTATGGAAAATTAAACATGTTCCAAACCACCAACCAGATGTGTATTTTCGGATATTTTCGGGATTTTCCCAGAGTTTCCCAGAGATTGTCCAATTTTTTTCCCAGCCAATGGCACCTTTTTTTGGGGAATTTCCAATGATTCCATGCGCCCAGGCACTTTCGCTTGTCAGGATCACGTTGACTCCACATGACCCGACAAGGCTTACCTACCCGGCGCCCGTTGCCCGGGCCGGGGGCCCGCCCTGGTGATGTTTCTTGGTTACCCCCATGATATACCAAAAAGACATCTATAGAATCTATAGAATCTATAGTTACTACACTTAACTATACTATAAGATACTATAAGTATCATAAGCCCAATCAATACTCAAGTTATGAACCTTGCATATATATATATATACACGTATATAAACATATTGCATGAATTTGTAGCATACTGTACGAAGGAACACATATCTATATGAAATTATAGAAACATACTGTATGAAAATACTGTACTATGCTGTACCTAAAGAGAGTTTCCCATATGCTATGTTTCCTCATAGATGGTGCAAACAAAAATGAAGAACTATACTATATATCTACAGGGCCTATAAGTGTCAAACCCCTAGGGCAGCCATGCAGCAAACTTTGTGTCGGTGGATACATGTGTATTTAAATATCATATCCGATCTATATTTTGTTATCTATACAATATAATATACAGTATCTCTAATTGTTTATATATAACACATAGATATACAGTATACCCTCTGGTTATTTAACGTAGCTATGGTATAGATGGCCCATAGAAATAGATGGTTTACCTGGGTTTACCGTTCTTAAACGCATGGTGGATCTTTCCATGGCGAACTGTTAGTCATAACCAGATGGTACATAGACAATTAAACACAAAGAGTTGTGTCCATATCTCATGGAACAGTATCAACCAATGTCTTCAAAAACTCTCACTGTGCTTCCAAGCTGCCCTTGATGCACATGTAGTTTAGCGTCTGCAACGCTTTTTCCGCATCCTCTGCGAAAAGGGACAACCCAAACTGGAAGCGCTTTTTCGCTGAAGGAAAATACGAAAATGAACGGTTTCATATGGTTTCATTCTACTTAAAAACTGAAAATTACTGATTCATCTACGTCAATTTGCGATTCAATGAGTCAATGGGTCTTGAATTTTGATCGACAGCAATCCTTTGCAAACCCAGAGGGGCTCAGGGGTCTTTACAGGACTCCCCCAATAAAAACATGTGTTTCCAGCATGTCATAGATGATGGTTGCCCCTAGTTCCCAGGTTCTCATTTGTTTTACCTATTTGAATTTTGGGGTTAATATACTATACTATACTTTGTGATAAACTATCAATTGGACTACACCCACCACAAATCGGCCAAAATCACCAGCACTATCATAATTCGCAGAGAGGATAGCCCCATTTCCAGCCCCTGCAATGCCCTGCAGTGTCCCACTTTCTTCAGACAACAACTTCTTCCCTTTTCTATTGACGAAGTAATGCAAAAAAACACCAGCCAGCCCTCTGCAGGAACTTCGGGGAAGTCCCAAACATCCTGGCGCAACTTCTTCAAAATACTTATCTCATCCTCAGGTTTTCCATATGGGAAAATCCAATAATAGCTGGTGTGTTTCCATGGGAAAATCCCATGGATGATGACCGTACCGGTACACATCGCACCAGCCGGCCTGTACACTGTAGTAGTTCACATAGGCATAGCCAAGTGACCTCCCAGGACTGGGCGGACTGGGCCTTTTAAGCTGAGCTGGGTCAAATCCGCCGCGCTGAAGCCGACCCCTTTTGTGGCCAAGTTCACTCTTGCACGCTAGTTTGCATCAAGGATGACATCTTATTTGTATAATATAATATATATAATATATAATATGTTATATAATATATATATATATACATAGTATTTAACATATATTATATATAATATCATATATATATAATATTAGTATGTTGGATGAAAGGTACCCAATCTCCACCCATTCCAAGCTTCACTTCTTTCCAACCAACCAGGTCAGTCTTTTTGTCGGGTGAATCGGTGAATCAGCGGCAATGACACAGTTCTCAAAATGACAAACACACATTCTGCTGGTTGCAGTAAAAACACTTAGTTTGGCAATCTGGACATATTAAGAATATCTAAAAATCACATCTGTGTTGGTTTAATTTTGAATCTCACAAACGAGTACTTGTTGAATAGATCCGTCGTTTTGTCCGCCAAATCACAGATGAATCGTAAGACCTAAATCACCATTTTGGATCATAAATCCATTCAGATCATTTACCCTGCGGTAATGACTATCTGGTTGGTGGTTTTCAACCCACCCCTCTGAAAAATATGAGTTCGTCAGTTGGGATGATGAAATTCCCAATATATGGAAAAATAAGATTCATGTTCCAAACCACCAACCAGTGTCTATTTCCATAAAATTCATGGGTTATTTCTCCTATCAATGGGAAGGATTATCCCATATATTAGTGATATAGTTCCCAGCAAACTAAACCTCCATTTAGGCCACGGGGATTTCCATGGATTTCCCCGCTTGTCACCTTTGATGACACCACAGCATATTCCGACCTGATGTGAATGTTGGTTCAGTTTCACCCCATGAATACAATAGTTCTTCTCATAAACATTCATAACAGTGAAATTGGAGTTATAAATATTCTCTATAGATTCCCAAAGTAATGGATTTCCCATTGAGAAACTTACAAAAGCGCAAATCCAGGAAAAATTGCCTGATTATATAATATAAATTGCTATTCTCCCATATATATATTTTTGTCATGCTGCATGTTGAAGCGGACAATCGCTGCGGCAGGTTCGGCAAAATGAATTAATGCTCCTGCAGTCGTCAACCAGCAAAATCGGCGCCAATGGAGTGACCCATTTCTGTGCATGTCATGTGTAGACAGCGCTCACGGAAAAATGCTGGTAACTGTGGCAGGTCCACCTGGCCATCAACCGGTGGGAAGTGATGAAGGAATGCTTCGGCCAGGCCTTTACAAAGGGCAGGAGGGTATTCTTTTAATACCGCAGTTTTGTACCTGCCTTCCTCATCAACTCCTATTGTCGCAGCACGCGGCAACTCCTTGCGGATCATGTTCGCCCGCAAGTGCACTGGGAGCTCCGTCAGGTTGAGCGTGAGGAGGCTGGTTCGTTTGGTGCTCACCGCGCCAAAAAGACCTTGGGCGCATTCTCGAAGCGCAAAGCCCGGAAGACGAAGAAGCAGTTGAACCAACGGAAGTCGCCAGATGCTAGCGGCTGATTCTTCGGCGGGCTCTCCCGGGTGCTCCAAAATGCCAAGCCCGTCGGCCATAGCCAGAAGCATCATTGCGTGAAGACTGAATCCAAGAAGGATGTGGCCGTCGTGGATCTGTTTCATCTCCCTGAGCGATAGGGATCGGAGTCCCCACAGGAACTCACGGGTCCTGATGGCTCTGGGTCCTCGTCGACCTTTGGCTTGGAGACTTCGGTCTTCTTTGCCCCTAGCAATCGACCACGTGCAACATGGTGGCCCGCTGAGCATCGCTAGAACCAAACCAGAGGCGATAGCATCGAGCCAAAATCGTTGCGTGGATGATTTGCTGATGTCACCCCACGTGCTGTCGATTACCAAATCAACCGACACCACCATGACAGGGCCCATCTGTTTGCGCTGGACCGCTTGATCTATGAACCATTGCAGGTCCCCCGGTCTCCTCCTCCCTGAGTAGGCGTGGAGGACCACGCGTTCTCGGAAATGAGGTCGGGGGCAGCGCGGTTCATCTCTTGTCCAGACTACTTCTCTGGTGAGAAGTTCTTCACACCAACCTTCATAGAGATCCAGTGGGTACATGTGTGTACCATCCGCAGTCTCATGATCCTCATCCTGGAGGAATTTCCAGGAAATAGCCTCGCCCAATTTTCGCAAGACAGCATGGATCTGTTGTCGAGTGAAGAACACGTCCACTGTGGCCTCCTCTGTGAAGGCCTCAATGGTGTACTCCAAAGTTGTTTTCGTCATCGTCCATCCCACATAATGACGCGTGATGACATTCTGCAGGACGCTGAAGAGGCCATCAGTGTCGGTGGTGTCAGTCTCATAGATGGTCAGGACCATGTCTTCGAACAGGGGCACATGATGTTCTTCCGGGTGTCGAAGCGCCTGCAACTGCAATTGCGGTCCTTGCGCACGCTGAACGGGAAGAAGACCATCATGTCGTTCTCGTAGTTCAGCATTGATTCTGGATCCCATTCCTGGCGCCAATGTTCCGTGTGGTGGTCTGGAATTCAGAATCATCCGGCAGGTCCGGGATGTACGTAGATGTTGCTGGAGCTTGTCATGGCTGTGGTATTCACCCAGGCAGGCTTCACATGACGTGCCAGCGATCCATTGTCGTTCTTTTGCAACGATGCCATGAACTTTGAACAAGTGCGCTCCTTCACCTGCTTTGGAGCGACATCGCTTCGCACAGTACATGCATCCAAAGTGTTGGGCTTGTTGTTCTGGATCAAAATTGGACTTGGTCGGTGCATAGGTGAGTGTGCCGTGCTCAATCAAGGTGTTGAAGATGTCATGATGGAGTCGACGCAAGAGGAGTTCATCTGCTACTTTCATTTGACTCAGGGTCGCTCCTCGCTGTAGGAGTGTTTTCCAATAACTCCTGTGGTAGCGGAGCACGTATTCCCAGTCTTCGAAATGTTGGGAGGGATCGCGTAGCTTGCATGTGTCAGCGATCAGTGTCCACAGCCAGGTCAAATCCTCCGCAATGATCTCCATCCAGTCATGATCAGCACGTAAGACTGCCCAAGGAGTGACCTGTTCACATTTGTACAAGAGCCCAAGATAGCGAAGGCGTGAGATCCTCAACATCACTTCAGGTGCCGGAAGTTGGGTTGCCGCCAGTACTTCACAATCTTGAAGTTTGGCTGTATTGGGCAATTTGAGCAGTCTCCTGTAGAGTCGCAGGAAGGCCACCCTGAAATACTCCTTGGTTTTCTTGTCTTGGAATGTCCATGACTCCATTCCATACGTGATCTTGCTGGTGACGAGCGACTGGAATAGCTCACCCCTCCGTTTGGCTGTGAAGCCAGGGTTCTGGAAAAGCAGTTTGCGGTGCGATGCGAATGCTGCATTCCCGATGGCTATTCTGCGTCGTACTTCACGGTGCGATAGTCCAGAATGATGTGCAATACTACCAAGATGGGTGTAGTGCCCAACAATGGATATGTGTTGCAGGCCATATTCTGTAAGAATGGGTATCTGGCGGCCCTGTTCAGCACCGAAATATCGGAGGCGAAGTTTTCGAGAGCCCGCACCTCGAAGTGTGAAGAGAATCTCACTCTTGCCTCTGTCCAAGTTCGGCGTGACTCCATGTGATGTACACGTTTCCAGCAACACACTGGCGGCTGTGCTGGCTCGGCTAACCACTCCATCTGCTGTCTCGTGAGAAATCGTAAGGCACAGGTCGTCCATCCAAGTTGGCCCTAAAAGGGTATGGTGGATTCTGGAGTTGGCTGCAGCCTGTGGATATAGCCCTGTTGCTGCTTCATCTTCAAAAACCTCAATGATTTGAAGGTCTGTCAAGCGCTTCTCCACAATGTCCAGAATTCTGGCGAACATGTACCCAAACACCACATCAGCAAATGGGTCTCCCGGTCTGCTGCCGATAAGTGTGTGAACTCTGTCACTTTGACCGTGCATGCGAAAGTGCGTGTTCGTATGCAAGGCTTGTAGAGCACGGCGGAGGTGCTTTGGCATCCCTGCCAGTTCAGTGCTGGCTGGAAGTTGGAGCAGGGCATGAAGGTCAGCAACTGCGTCCGATGGGAGATGCAACCTCGCAGCAACCTTGGCAAGAAGGCTATCAGGAATGTGGCCGCCAACCGAAATCGGTCGTAGGACCCGATAGAATGCTTCACGAAGGTCAAGGAACACCAGTGCATGTGACTGTTTGTGGTGCCGGGCTCTTCGGGCTGCAGCACGGATGTAGTGAACCCCCATGGATACAGGTATATGCTTTCGGCCTCCAATCTGGGCCCTCTGTAGGAACGATTCATATATCGTCGACTGGTGATCGCGAACAGCTCGATGGACAGACTTTGCCAGGTGCGAGCTGATGAGTAGGGAACGATAGGATTCACAGCGGTGCTGCGGTCCTTTTCGTTTCCATGCTGCCACTAAAGTGCCTCCTTTGTGCAACAACGCTTCTTGTCCATGTGTGCACAGCTTGACCAATTGGCTGTACGCAAGTCTGGCCAGAGGAACTGGAAAATGGTGACAAATCTCTGGAGGAATGAGATCTTCACCCACAGCTTTATGATCTTTGACTCTTCTGAATGCTCGCTCAAGATCTGTGAGTGTTGGAATGTCTCCAGCTTGTAGACAAAGTTCTTGCTGCATGAAGGCATGCAGCTGCTGGCACCACAGATTTCTGAGCTCCTCCATCTCCACACGTTCTCCACCTTCCATCGCTCCAAAGAATCCTATCCATTGATTGGTCTCTGAGGTCCTCAGGACTGGTACAGGGTTTGCCATCATCCTTCAAGATTTGCGGCAGAGGCGGCATCTTGCGCAATTTCGGATTGGTGGTTCCAATCAGAGGTTTGAGCGTGTGAAGAATCTTGGAGGCAGCGCAGTCTTCAGGCAGGTCCTTGATGGCCGTCTGAACAGCTCGCTTTTTGGCTCGTGCCAAGCGATTTCGGAGTATCCGTGCTGTCCTCCACAGTTGTAGTCGGTTGCAGATATAGCGGACATGCAAAGTGGTACCATATCTCCAAGATGTCCATGTGGCGTCTTCTGTGGGAGTTCTGCGCCAGCCGGTAAAGCACTGAGCCAATAGCTCCATTGTGGCTTGTCTTCGAAGCCGTCGACCTTTTCGTTGTAGAGCTAGTTTCTCAGAACGGACATTCCACGTCTCCTCATCAATGAAGCTCTTCTTGGGACCCTGCCGAATGGGTGGACAGTGTTCATGAAGAGTTTGAAGTAGATGTTGATTGAGATGGCTCACTTGTGTCTCGATGTCAGTGCACCACTCCAGAGGTCGATATTGCAGAAGGGCATCATGAATGTCAGCTTGTGGGATCAGCTGTCTAGCATGACCTCGTGTCTTCTGGATGCTCAAAGGCAATGACAATTCTTCTGTCCATTCAACCTGAATGGCCGTGGCAGTGTGGTCGCCCAGATGTCCAAAATCCAAGTTGATCAGGTTCTCTGAGAAAGTGCACCAAGGTTTCCAGCTGCAAGGAATCAGGACATAGTCGATGCGATGTAGAGAACCGTCCAGTGGGCTGGTCCATGTGCCTTGTTCTCCTCGGTGGACTTCTGTTGTGGAGGGTGCAAGTAGTGCCTGTTCACTCAGAAAATCTCTGAAATAATCAGTGTTGACCGACGTCTTGTCATCCAAGGAGAAGACATGATGGTCATCAGCAGGCCCAGTTGCAGCATTGGCGTCCAACATCACCACGAGATTATCCCGTGTGACATGGTCAGCAACAACTTGAGTCAAGTTGCTCCACCAACTGAGTCGGTCGGGGCCAGGGGTTCCACTGTGTGGCGCATGGGCTGCAAGCAACCAGAGATCAATGTGCTCGTTGAGGAGATGCACAAGCAAGTGTCTTGGGGCTCGGGACACAACCACAAAGTCACCTCTGCTGAAGTAGCCCGGCTTGCCATTGACTTGGAAATATGGCTGTGCCATGTTGATCCAAAGTTCAATTCCAAGTTGGCCTTTGTCGCCTCCTCCTGCAAGACGCAGCACATTTTGATGGAGAGATGAACCTTCTTCTGTTCTGCATTCTTGCAGACCCATGATATTCAGTCCATGTGCAATGAATTGCTCTCGCACATAAGAGAGTTTGCCTCCGTAGCCCTCGTTGCCTTTGTAAAACGTCTGCACATTCCCTGTGGCCAAGCTGAGTGTAATTTTGGCTGCCGAAGAACGTCTTTGTGGTGATGCATGCTCCTCTATCGGTGTTGATGGTGGCAAGTCAACTGGAGCAACATCTAGGCCTCTTTTGGTCAATGTAGGCATGTCCGGTTGGTCTGCCACTGCCATCCATAAGTGAGGGAGGACATGTCGAAACTGCGGCATATGGACCGGTTGTCGAGGTAGACAAAGGTTGGAGCTGCCTGCAATCTTCGCAAGGTGGTCTACAAGCTCGTTGTACGGGTCTCCCGTGTGGCTCTTGACATGCTCAACGCGGAGCGAGTCACCTGGCAGATAGGCAGCAAGCGCCTGATACACTGCCCGTAGATTGCGGTATGGAGCATTGATGTCAGCAATGTCGATCCTCCCCGCAGCCTGATCTCCTGCAAGACAGGAGTCTGTCAAGAACGTAGTAGGGACTCTGTGGTTCTGTGCCAACCTCCACATGCCGGCCCAGAAGAGACCCTCGGTTTCGGCCGCATCGGATCCGATCTTGTCAGTGCCTATGCAGTGTGAGGCCTGTTCTTCATAGAGCACGACTTGACACTGAATGCCGATGAATTGAATTTTGGATGGCTGTTGTGGGTCTTCCGCATACTCTTCAGCAAAGACTGCAAATGCCCATGAATCACTTGTGTCATTTTCTGCCACCCAGAGTGGTGGTTTGTGGCGATGCCTTGTTTGTGATGAGCCATCTGTGTAGACAAGGTATCGGTCAATCCTTTGAATCGTTTCACATGAGTCAAGTGCTGCTTTGATGAAGTCTGGAAGGTCAAAGACAGTATAGTCTTGCCAAAGCCATTCTCCTTTGTCATCGAGGAAAGTTGTCAGCGTCTCAATGTCAAACTCAAGGAGGCATTCAGATGGCTCTGGGAGACTCTTCAAGTCCGGGAATGGCGGGGTCATGTCCACTTTTGTCGGTTGGCGACTGGGCCATGGTGTTCTTGTTCGTGGACGATGTGTTGGAGCATCATGGTTTGGCGAAACATCTTCAAAGTGAACGCAAGTAATGTGCGCAGTCCATTGCTCCTTAAGGTGAAGAACTGCCTTCGAGAATCCTTGCTGGCAAAGAAATTTCATGTGGTCAATCTCACTGAGAGGGTGAGTGGTGACCTGGGTCAGCACTGAAAGGCTGTGCGTGGTGTCCTTGTTGCAGTATACATATCGCCAATGTTGCGATGCTGTTGCTTCTGCAAAATGTGCGAAGACGACGTCATGGCCACCACAGAGAAAGATCTTGCACGAGAGTCCCCATGAGGTGAGTTCTTCTTCAACATCTGCCGCAGAGTAGATGGATGGAGTTTCTATTGCCTGTGGCAAAAATCCCGCGATGTGATCTGGTGCATCATGGACAATCTGAATCAAGATGGTCGAGGTGTCTACCCTCCAATCTTCAGGTCGGCAGTCTCCAATGGCTGGAAAGATTTGGCTATCTTGCGGCCACTGACCTTGAGCCACCGTGTCAGTTGTTAGGCGCTCGCAAGATGCCTCAGCACAGGGGCCTTTGGTGACCAACGCTGACAACTGGAGGAGTACTGGTCCTTCACCTGTGGGTTGGACTACTTGCTGTGGACGTTGGGTGAGTGTGATCTTGATTCCATATCCACTTCTTCCTGGTATGGGTCGACCCAGTTGTAAGATCAAGGTGTCGAACCAGGCATTGCATTGAAACCTCGCATTTTCCCCAGTGCATTGTCCATGAAGTCCAAGAACCAAGAGGATGTTGTCGAGCAGAATGTGTTCATGCGTGGTGATGGCCATGATTCGGAAAGGGGTCTCTTGCATCAGATCCTCATCAAAAACGATGACAACTGATGTGACCCAATCTGGTCTAGGATTCTGCTCAATGACAACATGGCAGCAGATATCTTGTGCCTGTGTGGCAGGAGTGGGTCGTACCAAGCTAATTTCAACAGGTGCCCCTGGTTGAAGATGGTCTTGCCACGTCCTGAGAATGACATCTTGCCACTGCGTATAGTCCGGGTAAAGTCTGGCTGTCCTGAATCGATCTCCATGAGGTCTGTGCCAGGTGTGATCGACGAACCAGATAGCCACTGTCGATGACGGAGATTCATCTTCCCACGCAAATGACGCGAATTGCCAGTGCAGGTGCATGTCTTGGATAAATTCCGGCTGGCCAAGAATATCTCCTTGTCCTGGGACAAAGGGTGCTGCATTGGCATTGAAGGCGAATCCCGTTTGTTCACCATTTGGCGGTGGGAGACCCAGAGCATGGCAATGTGGTTTGATCTCTGTTGCGGGGTCTGTCCGCATGTGTTGCGATGCTTGCATGAGCATTGTGGCATCATCTGTCGGAATCTGTACATGGAGTTCAAGATGTTGGCCATGAGTGCATTGCCATGGTGCATGTTCCGGCATTTGTTGTTCTCCATGATATCCTCTGCATATCCAGTCTTCACGTGGGCAATCACTTTCATGATCTTGAAACCACAAGAATCTGTCAAAGTCAAGGACGGAGGGAACCAGTTGAGCAAATCGATCATGAAGTGCTCCATGAAAACTGCTGAGTAAAACCGCTGCTTCACCTGGATGTTCATGTTGTAAAATGATTACGTGTCCTCCATGTCTTTGGTGAGGTTGTGGTCGCGGAGCTGGTTCAACAAGGATGAGTTTCAAGGGCCAATGAGGATGTTGTCTATCTCTCCATAGGCTTCTCAGTTGTTGATCCCATTGTGCAAGATCTTGTGGTAGCGCAATCGTCCTGTGAGTTGAGCATCTCGAAAAGTTGAGAGCGCTCAGAAACCAGGTGTCAACAATGAGGACATTTTCATTGTTGAGGCCTCGTCCATGGAGTAGAGGTCGATTCCAGATGGCTCTTCGTTCCTGGTCTTCTTGGTCATCATCATCGCGTGGTTGCCGTTGAATTCTTCTGGGCAGTCGGCGATGAAGTCCAATATCACATGAGGTTTGCGGGAAAGTGGCAACCTTGTGAGCTTCTGTGATGCGGTGACTTCTTCCTCGATCCAGACTAAGCAGAGAATGCTCATCCTGTTCTGCTGGTAGAGTTTCATGGCAATCAATGTCACCGATGAAGATCTCGACATAGTCACCATCTGCGATGTGTAGTGGATGGGTGCTTGTGATGTCGACCTGGCCATTGTTGTGCCACATATGACATCGGCTTTGATGATGATTGAAGAAATTCTCGATTCCAAGGAGTCGGAAAAGGGTCAGGATCGTTGTAATCCTCGGTGCCCAATATGCTTTCCTCCTGAAGATGCCCGGCAGAATCTCATCATCATCATGGATCTCAAGGTCGAGAAGAATAAGTTGGAGATTTGGAACTACTCTGGGTTCATGCATACGCTGGAGAAGTAATCCCTGTAGACCAACTTGTTCAAGGTCAGGAGGCCTGAATCCAATGTGGTGCAATTGCAGGATTGTAGAGGCTTCAATGTCAAACGCAAGGGCCACACGTTGGTGAAGTTCTTCTCCTTCTCGCCATGGGAGCAAAGCTGATCGCGATTGCCCATCCAGTGTGTAAACAACCGCCCTTCTCCATTCGTCATCAGATGAATATTCTGTCATGGTTTCATCAGACTCTGTGTTCACAGAGCTTTGTAGTGATGAGGAATCACTGGATGAAGGCCTCCTTGGTTGTGGACGTCGTGCCATGAAGCTGCTTTCATCAGTTGCATGGTCAGCATGAGGTTGAGGTGGCAATGGAAGTCCTGCTTCACGCCAACGCGGCAGAACAATGTTGTGCCATCGGGCATCGTCAATGACCATTGGGACCTCAATGACAAGGCCCAAGCCATCAGTGATTCTGATGGGCTGGTCTGAGGGTAGTATCCTCTCTCCCACCCGTAGTGTGCATTGTCCATGTCCTTGTCTTTGAATATCGAGACAGTCAGTCAAAATTCTCGCTTGTCGTAGAACTTGCTGAAAAGGAACTTGTGTCTCGAAGGAATGTGCCAATTCTTCGAGTCGCTGTCCTGCAATGTCATCAATCGAGACAGTTGTCATGGCAGCGGCCAATCCTCTGTGTGGATGTTGGACAATCAGCAGGATGCCAACCGTGCCTCTTGTGAATGGAATTGGTGGCTCTGGTGCGACCAGGAATACTTCAAAATCAGCATTCCTATCAAAATAGTCATCCCAGATCTCCTTGATCATGTCAGCCCATTGTTCGTAGTGTTGATCCAATCGTAGTGGTCGATTGACATTTTGTCGACGACAGGTGTCATGGCTGATGTAGAAGGTATCCAAATAAATGACAGGGCCCTCTTCAAGCAGTTCTGTGGCACCTTCCTGCTGCAAAACGTTCCAGACTTGTTCAACCCAAGCTGGAAAGCGGTGCAGGGGTAGCCTCCGATCTGCGGCTCCTGTTCCACGTTGACCAGGTTCATCTTCATTCGGTGGATCTGGAAGATTTGGTACTTCATTTGGATCGGGTCGATTCTGTCTGTGATACTTTTGTTGCGCTGGGCAGGAGCTGTCTGAAATAGGCAGTATGCCCAGGGCGAGAAGATCTTCATGTGGTACTGGATGCTTTTGATCATGGATGAAATTCTCAAAGAACAACTTATCCATGTGTGGAGCCAAAATTGGGGCTTGTACGGAAACTTCAAGCCATAAAGCTCTTTGTTGAGCATCCCATGGACTCACATAGTCATCCTCGGTGATGATAGAATGTGGAGGAGGCTGAAGGTAGTCCAAAAACCCACAAGGACTGCCGTTCGAACATGCTTCAACTCCAAACTCAGGCTCACGAGGAAAACTACAAACTTCAAAAATGGTACCTCCTTGAATGGTCACTGCATCAACAGTTGGCCAGAAGGTCAACCGGCGGAAGCGGTCACGCCGGTGTTGTCGCCCTTCGCCTCTCCAGTGGGTGATAAGGGTTGTCACCCCACTGGCCTCCTCAGACGCAGGGAGGGTCAGGGCATGTTGGAATCCCGCTGTTTCTTGTCGGCGGGTTCCACGATTTGCACATCTTCTCCATCTCCACTTCTTGATGCCAAAGGTCGTTTGTGCATCTTTTCCTCGATAGTGTCTTTCACCTTTTGTACGACACCTTTCAAGTCCGTCTTCAACTGGTCTAGCTGTGGCTGTGGTGTAGCATCGTCCATGTCCATGATGGTCATGGTTGCATCTAAGGCCGTCTGTCCTTCCTGGAGCTCGCCAGTGGGGACAGTGCCTCCCTCCACTGCCATGGTGCGCACATGGATGTCGTGCAGTTGTGCACGGACCTGTTGAAGATACTGAGCAGCTTCCTTTCTCTTCTCGTAGAACTTGGTCTCGCCTTCCTCGTAGGAATCGATGTGGGCTGTCCACATCTTGGTGGCATTGTCCAGGTAGGCGGACCATTGGGTTCTGAAGGTGTCCCATTGGTCTTCGATGTCGGAGAGCTTTTTCCTGGCCTGGGTCAGCATGTAAATGAGCTGTTTGTAGCTCTTCGCATCGTCCTTTCTTGTTTGGGCCTCGACGATTGCGAGTGCTTTCTTGACCTCTTCTGGCTGCTCCCCTGTATGTCCACGTAGTTGAGAATGAAGATGCCGTAGAGCTTGAAGTTCCGCATCCTCCTTGTCTTGTCGTGGCTTGCCAAAGGGCTGCATCGCGCTCGATGTTGTTGAAGCTGATGCTGGAGCTGCTGCTTCCGTTGAGAAAGGTGCCACTGGTGGCGATATCCATGTAGTGGATGGCGGCAAGTGTCCAAAGGCTGTTGCACCACCTTTGTCTTGTGTCTTGCCTTTTTCTTGACCTTTTCCACCTGTCAAATCCGGTGGATCTTCCGGTTGTTGTCGCCGTCGCGAATTTGCTCTCCAATTGGCATTTCTGTGTCTCGGTGACTGCGTCCTTCTCCTGGGAGATTTCCGAGACGTACGCCATGAGCCCTCGGAGTTGCCCCATGGCGTCTCTGACCATTCCTGTTGCGCATATCCTGGTGGAGCATCTTTCCTCATGGGCTGCTTGTGCACATAGGTGGGGTCGTGGCACATCGTCCAGGAGCCCCAGCAGCCCCCACAGCAATCCGCTGTTGGGCTGACCATCCGCATGCAAAAGCGGCACCTCCATGGATCTCCATAGTTTGCCATTGCTTGTCTGATCTTGGCTAAGAACTGAAAGTCTCGGCTGTGATGATGCTTCAGGCGCTTGTATAAGGCTTGAAGTTGAGTCCAGTCCAAAACAATACGACCAGTTCTGTGTAGGTACCAACGATGGCGTGCCAGAGCCCGTTGTCGTCTGGCTGTTCTCCTCTGCGTAGGCGTAATGGCTGTAAATCAATGAAGCCAGAATACCAAAGAGGACAAAGAACATCAAGTAGGTGTGCACGGAGTGGATATCAGTAAGGAGGAACACGTCAGACTCCAAAAACCAAAGAGATCCACAACCAAACAGTGGGCCAATTTAACGGCAGCCACTGACCCAGGAGTTAACGAGCTGGGACTCGAAAGTGCTGCAACCAGAAGCTTGATGTCAAAGTACCCCAGGTCCAAGATGTTCACCGTCGAGCAGGGCAAACAGGAAAAGCAACGGTGGTATGAACCAGCGCAGGACTCACAGAGCACAAGCCAATGAGAAGGCACACCGCAGTAGCAGGAGCGCCCGCGGCAATGGCGAGTTGCCGCTGAGGTGATGGCTGAGCGAAGCGTGGGGTCGCTACAGCCGAAACCTTCATATATATATATATGTATATACTATTACCATCTGGTTATTTAACATAGCCATGGAAAATGGCCCAGTTATAGATGGTTTACCTATTAAAGATCGTGATTTTCCATGGCTATGTTAAATAACCAGAGGGTATATACTATTATATACTGTATATTATATATATAGAGATTTGACCAGCTCTAGACTCTAGACATCTCAGATGACCTGCGGAACCGCGCCTGCGGGTCGCACTGTCCCTGCACACACGGCAGGACGCGACGTTCCCCGCTTGGCTAAACGCTTCCTTGGTGCCCAACTTCGCAAAACGTGAAGACAGTTGAAGTCGGCCCTGAGAAGGATGACATTGATGATACATTGATGATATTGGTGAATGTATCATGAAAGAACTTATCCAATATCATCAATATCATCAATGATGGATACATTCACCAATATCATCAATGTATATATATAATATAATTAATATATACCTAGAGCTTCAATTGAGCATTATTATTTGCTCGAGGTCTTCTTGCGCTCGATTCTGGGAAAAGTGTTCGAATTAAAAAAAAGTGTTCGAGGTATACCCATCTTACAATACCACCTATAAACCATGGGCTACTATTGGATTTGTTCATGATGGTATCCCTTATTAGGGGTTTTGGTGTAATAGCTACTAGTATACCCTCCTGCCTCCTGAACCCTGGCCTTTGCAGCGGCAATCAGAAACATTCACCCATGCACAACACGGAGTTGGTGGTTTTCCTCTTGGCGAACCATTCTGTTGCGTCGGGGTCTCAGCCGCACAGGCTCTGGGAGCTAGGTCCGTATTTGACGGGCACGATCCCATTCCCTTCTATAGGACAGCAACACACGGGACAAAGTTCTGTAACAAAGCCTAGCCGAGTGGAGGCAATGTCTTGCTGTACGTGAAACTCTTCCTATCATGTCCTCATCAGTCCAGCAGCTCGTGCCTCAATGGAAGGAGCGTAGGCTAAACAAAAATTGGATTGGTTCTGACTGGTTCCCAAGTTCCAAGGTTTTGCAAAAGCAAGCGATTCGTTCTGACTGGTTCCCAAGTTCCAAGGTTCCTAGGTTCCAGGCTGTGTGGATTGAGTATCCACTCGGTCATCGGGTCTTCCATTTGGTGGGACATCTCCAGCCTAGGATGGCCAAAACGGTTTGGGATGAGGTTTGTTGGTACCAGGCTTTTTCCCCAATTTTCCAGGAAAAAAACAAATGGAAGTCAGAATTTGACCCGTATGTATGATTTGACCTACTTGCTAGTATCTCAACAATATTGCAACCCAGAAGCCCCACATGCTGCATCATATGAATTTTTGGTCTCATATACCAAAGGCTCAACTGGTTCTGCTTTGCCATGCTCGCAAGAGCCCCAAAAGCTTCCTAGGAGATGTCAGGTTGAAAGAGGAAACATAAATATCGCTATTGTCCTGCATTTGATTGGGGTTAGCCTACACATTGCTAACAAGGATCAGTCATGGCCCAACAATCTTCCACAGCTTCCGCAGCGCGCGAGCGGTGGATCCAAAGGTTGTCACCCTTTTGATACACTGTGCGAAAGAAGTCGTTCGTAGCTTTGTTGCCCCACTTTAGCACCCGAAGCATTGGCTGATAAGTTTCCTCAAACAAGGTTCACACTAGACCAGGGATCATGTCCGTTGTTTCAAGTAAAAACTGTTTGTTCATCCTCAACCCTCCCCCAAAAAGAAATAGGATAGAGTCAGGACTAGCGACAGGTACTTGGTCAATGGGGAGGTCATCCAAAACTGTCTCCAACCAAGCCCCAACCACTGCGGAGTCACTTCCTTTTCCAAGACCACGTGGAAAAGTCTGCAGCCTTGGTTCTTTTGGGGATTGCATGGGTTAGTATTACATGCAGCCCAATACATCCAACAAATAATTTGGTTTGATGAGGGTTCAACAGCATTGCCAATACGGTATCTAGGAACGAGACTATTTTCAACTCCTTTTTGCTGAATTCCATGATGGTAGTACTTCTGGAGTTTTCCACACACCATGCTTTGAAAGAATCCCATGCAAGTTCGAGCTGTTTCTCATAGTTACCTTCGCCCCAAATCTTGCAGCGAACTGCCAGAAAAACAATGGAGCTGGCCAAGTCATCCTTTCCATATCCAGCTATGCTATGCGTGTGAGCAATATCGATCTTAATAGTCTTGGGATTGTCGCCACCTGTCAAGTCCCGTAGTGGTGACCTTACTCCAGGTTTGTAAGGATCTGGAGGCACAAAGTTTGAAGTCAAAGACCGTATGCTACCTTCAGGGCCCAAGACATGCCAATCCTCAGCTGCTTTGGTTTGACTACCAGATTATAATGTGATAAGTACCACCCCCAAACTAACATAGACCATATTTTAGGAGGAAGTAGCTTTCTAAGCCCTTATTTGGGAAGGTATAGTTGGGGGTAGTGTCAAATGCTGTTGGGGGAAATAATACGTAATTGCATCCTAAGATCTGAAGCTTCACAAAGGTGACAAATACGTTTGCAGTTGTAGCCCGTCTTCAATTTGTGAGCGACTCGCAACCAGGGCCAATCCCCTTTGTTTCCCAAGTATTTGCAATATATTTTGATCTTGCGGTTGCCCCATGACACCTGCATAGCTCAAAATTTGCAACCACTGTAGACTTAACCAGAACCCCTAGACAGATCCTATCTTGATGTGGTGGGTTTAGAATATATATAGGCAACCATAGTTTGGGATATTCTGCCTCCAAACCCTCCTGCTCCAGTTGGTTGAGGTCCTGGACCAAATGTCGCAAGAGCGGGTCAATGGTGGCACCGCCAGGGGCATAGCACTCCGAAGGGATCACGGAGTAGACCAGCCGGGTCGTGAAGGCGTGCCTCAAGCAGCCACAAGACAATTCAACCCAGTGAGGAATTTGGGGCAATAATAGACCATTGGAAAAAAATGTTACACTAAACCTTTTTATTGCAAGGTGCTTTGTCGAGGGAATGCTGTTTGCCCCAACCCATGACATGACCGGTTGAAAAGATATCACCAGTAGGGGTCTCTTGCCAAGACCACGACCTTCGTCTCCATGAAGGTACACTGGAATAGTCTGAGAAGGATTGGATGGTACCATAGTTTGGTCGATCTTGCCATATCGGGACCAGAACTCTTTCAGCATGTTCTGAGCATCTGCCCATTCATCCAAAGTCTTTCCCGCTAGGAAAAAAAAACCGGAGTATTTGGGATCCGTAAAACACAGTTTCATCCAGTTGTTCAAAGGGATGACCGGCCAAGGTCTGAGAAGCACCTTCCGCTTGCGCGGGATCCTGACCTTTGTCCGCACAGATGCGATTTCAACAGGTAAAGTTTTGTCGTCACGGTGAATCAGCGAATGCAAAGCTCTGCTATAGTTCGCAGATTTCTTTGATTTTGCCCGCATGGTAAAATTGACAATATCCCTGTCATACACTCCTGAGTTTTGCCATGGTTTGCCTTCACAGAAAGAAATTCTGGGGAAACAATGGAGCCGATAAGATATGTTCCCATTATCATTATGATCTACAAAAAACAATCTTAAGTTATGCCCGTACCAATTCTAGCTAATCCATGCCTAGGCTCCGTGTTTCTCTAAGAGCTTCCGGGTTCTCTCGGCTTGCACGAACACCTCTTTGGCTGATGCCTGGGTTGAAGGGACCAGCACACTTTGGAATTTATAATGTTTTTTTCTAAGATCGACATGCTATATCTGCATGACTAAGATGCAGTACAATCCAATACATATCCAATACATCAATATTTTTGATGATGTTCTGATCCATTGCCATGCTAGTGCTGGCAAGATACCCCTCTAGCAAAGTTGTCAACGAAGCCATCGACCGCTTCGTCCTCCGAGGTGGTGTAGCCACTACCTTAGCGCCAGCAAGACAGCCAGAAAATGGTGGCTTGGGGTCTCAGCTGGGAAGACTTAGTGGGCCAACGTAAGACTAAGATACACTAATGCAGATTAGCTACATCTATTCCCGCAATCATCGCCCAAACCTGGCAAAGAGGCTGGTGACACCACCAAAAAATGGGATAAAAGCTGGGAGAAAAAGGGATTCTGCCGGAATACTCTTTTCTTCACGGTGCTCGCTGCTCGATGACTCTTGCGATATGCATGTTCAATCCCCTGCAGTGCATGCCCTCACTCAAAACAAGACTTTTCTATATTTTGGGTTTCAACATGTTTCAACAAAATAAATCAAAATGAGGAGGCCGGTCCTGCAACCCTGAGTAAAGATATTGAGAAACCGGATGTGTCAATCTAACACATTCCAGTGGCTGAATTTCAAAAGTAGGAAGCCACCACTGTAGGTGCAATCTACTCACCTGACCTAATCACCTTTGGCCACCTTGGCCTTGGGTGGTTTCTTAGCTGCAGCCTTTTTAGCTGCCTTCCTCGTCTTGCGAGGCTTGGAACCATCCGACGTGGGCTTTGCTGGAGCTACCGAAGGCGCCTTCATGGGCCTTAGCAGACGGGCCGTGTTTGGTGGGTATTAAGATGCCGGTTTAATTCATGGACATGACATGACCAGGGGATATAAGTGATTTACACCTAGGGAGTATTTAATTGATATCCAAAGAGCTTTCCCCTCAACAGCAGGGAGTTCATCGATACATCCAACTTCGTGCACGTGACATAGCTCTCCTGGATCTCAAGCTTCCGAATCCTTGGACCAATCCAAATAACCCTTGTAAAGACCCCATATGATCATCATGTGCATGTACAATAAAACATCATGCAGGGATGGGATGGTGCAACCCAAGGGCCCATCAAACAGAGCTGGGTTCACAGTAGCTTCCGATAATAGGACGGTCAACTTGTCGTATTCAGCTGTCATTTTCTGCAGAACACCTTCGATTTGCTTCAAGAGCCTCATGTACCAAACATAGGGGACCACAAGGGGTGGCCTATGAATTGTAACACATATGGTAAAGATTGAGATGGGAACGCAGCACTGGCAGCTGAATGAACCTCTCGCAAACGGTCCTGAAGAAGTTCAAGGTTTCAGGTTTCTTAAAGATGGTATTGATGATATCTTCAAGATAGGCCACCCCCATCCCCCAGTCCATCTCTGCTCCAATTTTGTCAATCTTTCGGCCAAGCACTTCGACCCAAGACGGTAACACGCTCATGGGGGTAGTGGTTGATGTAACTGTGGGAAAAGACAGCCTTGGCCATCCAAAAAAATCAAGTGCGTTGTGCATGCATGCAACACTCCATAATTACTATGTTGATCACATTTTTTGAGAACCCCATTTGAAAGACAAAATCCCGCTGGCATTGGGGGCTGTGGTCAGATCCCCATCGCCCTTGGGCTTGTTGCCATCAGCCGCAGGAAGCAACGAAGCGTTGGAGCTGTTGATGTCAGGCAGGGCGGTGTCAAACAAGCTCCCGGACTCATCCTGGCAGGGCGTGGGTTGGATGCTTATAGATCATATATTGGGCTATGGACCGGGATTGCTGGGATTTTCGAAAACATATGTATGGAAATTTCCTAAAATAGGGGGTACCCCTAAGTTAAGTCATCTATTTTAATAGGATTGGTCATTACCCATAGGATCCATGTATGGTATATATGCTAACATTGGGGGTATATTGATGATAAACGTTACCATATATATAGCATACATGGATCCTATGGGTTATAAACCATCCATTGTGGGGTACCAACATGAATGAATGGAAACCACTATTATGCAATAGAACGTGTCTAGTTTGAACCCAATCCTCCACTGCAATGCTACCTTCGCGAGTTGTTTCTTCTTCACGAAGCTCTTTGTGGACAAAAGTTTCGTTTAAGATCAGACGGATCTCCTGTTCTCCATGTACTTCATTAACCCTGATGTTTCCGGTCTTCTGTGCCCATTGAATGGCCTTTGTCACCATTGACCTCGGGGTATTGAGAAGTGTGCCCGATTATTTTCAAATTATATCTATTAAGAAGTGAATGACCATCGAATATCATCGGATAGAAATTAATAGATTGGATTGCAAAATAAACTGGGCCTCTTGCTTGGACCAGCCTTCCTTTGTCTCCAGCTGAAAACGAGTATACCAACCGCCACTCTTGGCATCTTCCCGGGACTTTGATTTTTTTTCTTGATTTGTACCTCCAAGGTCTCAAACGAACCATGTTGCTGGAACATGCGCTTCAACTCCTCACCTCAGTAGCGGGTGGGTACCAATTATAAATTGTGGATACTGGACCATTGTGACTTGTTTTAAATTGCATATTAATTATAGCAGCCGGGAAACGTCCCGACTTCGACTCCCACATTTGCATAGCTTCGGGGCTACACTTGACCTTCCCACCCTTTGGCTTGAAGTAGCGGTACAACCTGCGTGGGCAAGGATATCCATGCATCGATGTATGAGATATAATTAAAACACAAGACACAAGATTTGAATATAATTTGAATATTGTGATGTGGGGCCTCCAATAACCATCCCTTGACGAAGATTTGGCATCGGTGGTGGCATCTCCTTGCTGTGACACGGACTCACCCACCTCAGACTCCTCTGCAACTGTCGGCGTCAGGCGGCCTTCTCTGCCCAATGGCTTGCTGGGGTCAAGGACTGGCACTGGTGTGGGCACGGCTACTGGGATTGATGGGGAAGGCATTGTTCCCACCACTGCTTCTGGGGGTGTCCTCAAAGCTGGTTGACCTGGAATGGTCTCAGTTGCAGATACCTGGGTACTGGGCACCTGGGAATCCCGAAGGGGAACAACTGGTGGAGCTTCTGGGGTAAGTTCAAAAGACTCACGCTGGCGGTCTGACCACATCATCGGTTTTGGTGATTCCTCAACAAGTGTAGGTCCAGGATTCCCTGCGCAAAATGCGCCAGAAGATTGGGCACTGTGTGGTCCTCCTTAGCTATGCAGTTGTGTTCATAATTGACCCCAAACTCTATGCTAGCTGAAAACACTGAGTGGTTAATTAATAGATCCTTTAGGTACTGTACATTCATGCCAACAAGTATCCAGGGAAAGGCTCATGGGGTGAATCCGCGGAAGCTAAGTTGCTCTTGCGACGCTTCAACGCATCCACACGAGCGCGACTTTCCTTAGGGAGTGATGAGCTAACCCTGAATAAACCTGGTATGTAATTGGGCACTTATGATTTGACATGATCTACAATATCACATTGGCTTGCAATCAAGCATCGGCAATTTTAGCTTCAAGTTCACGTTTCCGGGACTGTGCATCACCATAGCCTACTTGGTTCATACCTTCTTCCAATGTCTTGGCACTATGAAGACGACTGGTCATTCTTGGCACCCAAGTCTCGTAACAGTTGAACCACAAATGCTTTGGGAGGCATGAGATGGAAGATGTTGGACCAAACATCGGGCAAATCTAACAAACTTGGCCAACAGGGGCACACAGCAAGCCATATGGTGAGCTATGCAAAATTTCAAAAAGAGCACTTTTCAGATGTGCGCTCGTTTGCACCTTTTTGTGCTCGTGTGCGCTTTTGTGCGCTCGTTGTGCGCCCCATTTTGCGGAGACCAAATCCACAAAAAAATAATTAAATCGAATTAGAGTCCATCAAACACCTTTGAAATGTTTTTCCGTGGGGTTTGTGCCACTTGGTACCCTAGACCTCACGCTTGACTCGTTTGAGTGCAGGGCATTCCCTCTGAAGGGACATGAGCTCGTCCGTCAGGGACTTGTCACCAAGAACCTCATACAAAACATCACGGGGTTGGAACTATGGTGCTTTGGTGGTTACCAGTTGTACTAGCTGCATGAATGGAACCATAATGGAACCCACAGTAGCAAGCCTGCTCCTGCAATTCTTTGTAGAATTCAGTCATGGTGTTCTGCCACTCTTGTGGAATCCTGAGATTCAAAAAAAGACAACATGCATATAATTATCACAGTACGTCATGTACAGCACGAATCTAGCAATACCAACCAAACCCCTCCTGCATTTCTTCGAGGTCATCAGATATGTAACTGCAGGTAGAAGATCTGCTTCCTCCCAAACATCACCCAGGGGAAGATTGGCAAATTGTTCCACTTCATCCAGCCACCGGTTGTATTGGGGTTTGAAACGCAAATCCCTGCGGCCAGGACCGATCCCTGGGCCGATGTGGTGCTCCCAGGCTGCGCGCAGATTGCGCCCGAATTCATCCGGATAAGCCCTTGGGACAGGGGCAGCATGGTGTGGATTTCTAGATTCTAGCTGGTGTATAACCCTGTACCTCAAATTTATAAAAACATAGAACATAACCATATTAATAAAAATGATCCCGCATAGTATGGTCCCAGCTTCTGTGACGCTGAAAGGTCAGCTGTTCCAACAAATCTTTGTTTGCCAGAAGCATCGACATATTTGCGAACAGTTTGTCTAGTCGTTTTCTCTTCTCGTTCCTGTTTAGTGAGCACACCCAAATCAAGCATTGAGATCTCCTTCATCACTGACCATAGAATAGTGCGTTTTGGTGAGGCTGCACCATGTTTCTGCATCCAAAACTCTGTTCGGTACACCTAAGCATTTCTGCGTGAGGAAACGCAATGTGTGCGGTTGCCTCCCCATAACTCCCCATATCCATGTTGAAGGAAAATTGAATTGGTGGGCGAAAAATAATAAACCCATACCAAAGGACCCATGCCACATGATTCACCATCCAATCTAAGCGATTCCACTGGCCAGCTAAGCTATTGCTTGGCTGCTCAAGCACCCATATGCAGTTGTTGGCAAGTGCCACCAGACAGCACATCACTGTCCTTAGCACGGCTAGTCGTGGATCACATGTGCGTACGCCCCCCAAACCATGGTTAGAATTTTGGAATTTCAACAAGTTTGATTGAATTATGAATAAGCTTAGATTCCGTGACATCATGCAGTTTGATCGACGGACCCACTGCAAGAAAATATTTCCACAAGGATTTATCCATGACCGAAGGGATGTGCCCCTGGCTGGGAGACCCCATGATGAGCAATCCGGAGCAGCCATCAGTAGTGAATCTGGTGGCATTCCCATCACCACCCACAGGCAAAGCCTCAGAGCGAGCCGTGGCAGCTGGAAGACCCAGTGGGTTTGGCTGGGGTCTGACAGGTGGTATCTATAGTATGAGGCAAGGTTCAGGAAGCCTGCCGGCGATAAAAAGTCCATCGTTTTCTGGTTGAAAGTTCGGTCGAAACTCGCTGTCAAATATCCACTTTCATACCTAGGACCACCATTTCAGACTGTTGTTGGGTTCACCAAGCATCAATCTAGCTATGACACATTTTCTTTGATTTCACGTAGCTAAGAAAAGCACCATGCTCTAGTGACAGCTTGCTGCCCAGCAAAGATTTCGAACATGTTGTAGCCAGGATTATTTGGCATCAATCCTTCTGACCATCCCAAAAGTAGCACCTGAGACATTTTGTAAGTTCATAGACGGACCATCTGTTGCAGGTATGACATATGTAAGCTTCCCCCAAGATTCGGACTAGAGCGATCAGCACCTGAGCCATCGTAGAAACTACGGGGAATTGGAACTAATTAAAGGGATTACGTTGTTCTTCAAAAGACTTGAAGGCACACAGCTTCAGTATAATTTAAGTCCCAATCCTTCGGTGCTTGAACATGTTGAAGACGGGCCACAGGGTTGGATATCAAAGGCATGGCCACAAACAGGGACAGTCCGATTTTTAGGACCACTCAAAATGCTGCAGCACCATTCAAGATTCAAGATATTTCGATCCAACATGGTCATCCATTGGTTCAACATGCATATAGCTGGCCCCTTGCGCAGGCTGATTGAAACATGCCCAGGATGACGTGACATCAGCGATGCCTGAACTGCCCACGAACCTGCAGCCCTTCGAGCTCGAGGCATAGCCACCTGCACGCAGCGGGGGGCTCAAGTAAAAATATAAGGTGTTTCTTGCAAAACTGCAAAGCTAGTATACAGCCCATTGGCGTGGATAATATATCTCCAAATTGTGTCACAAGGATTGAGCAAACAAGTTACAGGAGTATTCAGGATGAAATTGGAAGATCTGAATCTGAATATGCATTTTTTCGATCCAAACGCGACACTTGTGCATGGAGCTGTCTCCACTGCTGTTGTACATCGCAATTGCACAACTGGCTGGCAATCCATATTGGGTAGGTTTTTGGCTTGCATTGCAAGACCTTACCATACCATACCATACCCCAGACATGGCCATGCAGCATGTTCTCACGCTGCAGGAAACCCCAAAAGTTCAACGCACGGTTGATTGCATCACAGCAGCTCAGCCATCAATCAGCTAGTCTCTTTGTATGCCTGAGATTACACAGTTTGAACGTTCAAACCATGTGCTGGGACTGAAGGAAACCCCAACAAATAAATCACATTTGTAAAATAAAAAATATAAAATGTTCTTGTCATCAACTAAAATACTTTCTTGGCCAAAGCATTGGCTTCCTCTTCCGTTTTTCCCTCCTTCAGTGCTGCCTTCTTAGCTTTGTGGTACGCGCTGGATTTTCTTGACAGGCGCTGCTTGTGGCTGGTTGGATCCTTTGGCTCCTTCTTGCTTGGTGCCTTGTTTTTCTCATCAAGGTCCTTGGCTTTCCTCTTGGGAATTTTTGGCTTGCCATTGCTCGAAGATGGCTTTTCATCCTTGTTGGATGGCTCAGCAGCTTTTGTTGTCTCAGCATCTTCTGTTTTCTTGCCGCGGCGGGTGCGCTTGGTGGGGACCTCCTTTGGGCTCTCACTCACAGCAACCTCAGTGGCCTTTTTCTTTTTCAAAGTTGTGGGGCAATCATCACCTGCATCAACACCATCTCTGTTGGCCTGTGTCCTGGGATGCTTCTTCGGGGCTGCTTTGGAAGATTCCTTTGCGGGCTTGGCTGCTGACTTAGACTTCGGTTTGCGTGTCTTCTTTTCTTTTACTGCTGCCTTT